CACGCAAACCAATCTAAAAGTGCCATCAGTGCCCTCCGGATGCTCATCCATCTCTGCCTAAGCAGATATGACGAAAAAATTGCCAGGTAAGCTATAGGGGTAGTCATAACTTCTCAACGTTGAATATTCATGTACCATATAACTAACTGCAGCTCCATAAACGTTTGCATAATGTTTGGCAAGCTCATAGATAGTATTCTAGGTGATCATTCTTTGATTCTTGGCAAGGAATTTAATTAAAATATATAGACCTGAATGCACCAGCTGGTGAAGAGTTTGTGAGGATGTCATCGGCGAGAGCAGCTAGGCAGGATCTTATTGGCAGGCAGAGTGTGAAGAAAAGGAATACGATGAGGAGAATGCCAGGGATTTTCAATCCGATTAGAATCACATGGATCCATACGTGGGATGGATTGGAAAAAATACCAAGATACCCAAGATAAAATGCAATAATGAGAAAGGGGAAGACCAAGATGGCAGCCTCTCCACCAATTACAGGGATTTTCTCTTCTCGAGTCAAGGTCTCCAAAATTCGGAAAACCTTGACCAAGCCTCTACTCTTGATTAACACGAAGAGCACCGAGGATATCATGGACACCTTCAGCGTGAGAACTTGCATCTTGATAATAACGCTCTGAAAGTCGCTCGCTTTGGAGTTCAGGGAATTCAGTTCAGCGGGTTGGACGATATCTTGAAGCGAAAACCAGGATCTGCCGAAGAGCCAGATGAGAGCATAGAGAACGTGAATGCTGAAATACCGGAATTCCAACTGGAGGGAATCCATGCAGAACAGGCCGTTGAGAGGCAGACATCCGCAAAGGGCGAGGAAGATGAAACAGGCTCGGATTCCTTTAGAGAACATTGTGACTGTAACTACTATACAAGACTCTCTGACGAGGGAAAATAGGGAGCATCCACGTCGAGTACGCCAGGTCCAATCGATTCTGTCATCACGTCAGTAGGTGTACCGATCAACTTAGCCTCGCACTCTATTTGATTAAAATTTCCTTGATTTGAAAAAAGTCATGTCAAATGGAATATTTACGTTCGGTCAGTAGTTTGTAATAATATCATATGAATGACGCTTAAGGAATACTTCCTAGGCATGAGTTCATAATATGTTTAATAGTTGGAACTCTTGGTGAGGCATGCTCTAATGAAACAGGTGAGAAGATTACACCTTTTTTTCTATAGTCGATTTGGGTGTGCCTATCTGCTTTTCATCATTTTCTCTGTCTCGTCATGCGGGGAATTTCTTTCACGAATGGATTCCATCTCTTACATTGCTACGTTCTCCATTAACTTCAGCGGGGTCGTGGCGAAGAAACGATATTCGGAACTCCGAGAAGATATTGAGAGAAACTTCGAGAAGATACGAAGAACTGGGACCATGAAGAAAAGTACGTAATCTCTTTATGAGCCACTATATCGTTGCCACAAAGTGTACCATCGCAGCTAAAGTTGTTACTTGGTCAAGTTCTTCGGAATTCAAGGCACTGGAGGTAACCTCGCTCCTTACGCATGACATTTGTGTGGAATCAGCATCGCGAAACTTATCCTGACACAGAACCTATCTAAAGACCTACTCAGCAGCTCCAAATTTGACTCTTGTTTTAAAACTCTCATGGTGTTACCCCAATTTTCAAAGTGCCTCAAGGATAGGTTATGAACTGCAGCCTTCATTTGTCGACAGTGCGTGCAGGATCCACCAGAACCTGCCAAATTCTTTTTTTCTTCCTAGTGTGTCTATACGAGGGCGTATGCAGGAATAAAAGCCAGCTAGATGTTTTGAATTTACGAACTAGTCCAGATATTCGATGACATCGTGAAGCTTATGGAAAATATTGGCCCTTCGACAACCTTCGTTGTGTTTGAATAGCCCGTTCTAAACCAGAGGATAGTGTCACGTGGGGTGATCACAAGTGCAGGCCAGCGAATGCCAATAACTGCGGGCTGCTGGGGGAGAAGCTTCTGATGCAGTGATGCAAGATTCTCAGATCCGTATCGCATGAGGTGTAGTTTCTTCTGTACTGTTTTGCGAAAGAATCGCATGATTAAGCATCCTAAATCATCATAGATACTCGACCCCTAATTGCGCCAACAGGCATAGAAATTTGGTTAGCATGAGAAACTCACGTCATGAGACGTCGATAAGTGAGAAGACTGGCTTTCACAGAGCGACAATTACTTTAACAGATTTAACAGAGACAGTGTCATCCTACGCCTTTAATATGTCAACGTTCTCAGTGTAGACACACGCTACTCATCAATATTGGATAAGATACTTCCGTGTTACATAAATAAGGAAACCATACATTCTGATCAAGCCATTTCGCATATTAACAGAAAATTTCACGCGTATGGGCACCTCTCGCATCAATTACGACGAATCAAAGCAAATAGGCGAGGCTCCAAGACTTTATTTCTGTGGAAGACATATTAGCGGTCAACTTATTCCCTGGCCTTGACAACGAAGCCGTGTCGATCCGAATTGAGATGGATCTTGTTGTCGCTGAAGCATCCTCTCCGGAATGACCTAACCGTGCTGATGCCGAAGACGCCACTCAGATCTGGAGCGAAGCCCACGTACTGTCCGGTCTGGACGCTGATGCAGGCGTGGTTTCCGTTGAAGAACGGTTCCCTAGAGAACACACGACCGGATAGGAAACTGCAGCTGCGATTCTCTTGTCGTCAGTCCGATTGAAGCGGAGACTCACGTGTAGACGGTCCAATAATTTTGACCCGTGACGATGAGGGATCCTACGGTGGCAATCGTGCCTGGCACTTCGGGCATGTCCGCCCATTCGTAGACTTCAAATCCGAAGAACAAATCAAATTCGTAAAGCGTGATCGTGTCGTATCTCCAGTTGTACGTGTCTCCTGCATACCTGCAAGTGAATATATGCGGCCTCGAGGCATGTCCTGAGGCGAGTAAAACCGTAAAGAGCATTCGTGGGATTTCACCTGAGAGATGAGACTTCATTGTTGAGTAAATTATTTAAGTTCCAGCAGAAGTCATCTCCATACCCCCATTCGACAGCTCCGAAGTTTTGATAGTTGTAATAATACTCGCTGTAGAACAGCCATCTGGAAGTGAAGAACATTGAGGATGGCTCATTGAGATTGGACAAACAACATCGTAGGGCGAAAAAACATCAAACATCTAATGCTACGAGGTATAATGACTCTTTTCTCAAGAAAAGAATTACTCTTCTAATGATAAACAGTAGCGGAGATAGGTAGTGTTGCCCCGTTAGCTGCCAGGGGTTTTCTGATTTCTGATATCTTTCTTTGCCAGGCAGTTTTCGTCAAGATCATTATTTCAAGTTTTGGGCATTTATATTTCTGTAAATCAGGTTTATTCCCAATAGATTCTGAACTCAAAAAGGCAATACTTTCTACACTCTACATATTGTTACAGAAGGAATGAAAAGGCAGGATTTCCTCTCCCGTAGGCAATAGACTTTCTCTGGCGGCGGTCAAGCCACATAAACAACTCAGTCACATTCGAAAGAAGGAAAACGTTGCCAACCGAATATTCGATTGGCATGAACAAATTGGCATGAAACTAATTCCATCAACTGGCCATTGGTTCGGTTCCGGACCAATTGCCTCTGAATCGTCCCTCTCTGCACCTCCCATTTCTCGCGTTTTCGTCCTTCCCTTACGGAAAGCACGAGTTTTCAACCCCGTCTTTTTTTTCTTTTTTTTACAGTTTGGAGATCTGGCGTAGGCCTTCCGTTCTCGAGATTCTCTCGCCTCTTTTCATCACTTCTTGATGAAAAACTAAGTTCTAAGTCGGCAATGATGTCTTTCGTTTCTATCATTTTGCGTTTTCGAAGCTCATAATACGGTACAAGTATGACTTGATCACCGCTCCCTCACATTACACTTCGCTTGATCATCGGTACAATGATAGAAAACGTATGCAAGCCAATGATTTCCTGTTTAAGATAATATTTACATTTTTCTCATCGCACACAGACTTATTTTGCTAAATAGTGTAGGATATATTTATATTAATACAGTAGTTTAAAAATATATATACAGTCATGCTCGCAAATGTGGTTGGCTAGGGAAACATGACATCAGCTACACGAACCTCATTGAATAAATCACTGCCAGAGGGAAGTCCGATGGAGAAAAGAAAAGTTTTGGAAAAGAGATCTGAAGGAATGAAAGGCCTACGTGAACCGTGGTGCTGAATAAAACAGGTGAACGAGACTGAAAGACTAGCTTTGCAGGATTCTCATTTCATCGGAGCGGAAGGAGTAAGGAGTGGAATAATATCTGGCAACACTGCATGTATATGGCAACGTAGCACTCAGGCCTCTTCTCTTCAGCTTAAGTCTCATTTCGTTCACTTCGCTGTGGGACTGTCCTTTCCCCCTCAATTCCTCCAACCCGCTCCAAGTGAGTCGGAGCAGGTTAAGCCAGGGAGAGGCTGGCCGAGGTTGGAACTGCGCATGCTCCGACTGACCTGCGATAGGGGGGAAGCCCGGGCCCAGCAGTCCCGTAGCAGATAGCATTCTTCCACCCTTTTCTTATGGCTGAACTCGTTTCCAGTTCTTCATCAAATTTACTGACTCTCACGAGGAAGCTCAAATATTATTCTGGATGGAGGCATTCCGAAACGTTGTCATATAGAAGTTAAGATGGAGAAAAAAATGACTCAAATTCACGGCATCTCTCGGTGCTCTCTTTCTTGTCTGGCCCAGGTTAGGCCCGGCCTAACGTGCCTACCCTGACGAGCCGCTACTGCTGGATGAACTCGTTTGGTTCAGTGACTCTAGTGCAGCGTAAATTCCGAAAGCATTTCGAGGTTCAAAACACTCCCAATGCCAAAACCATATGAAACACTCATAATGCCTTTTTTTACACTTGGGGAATTGAGAACCCAGGAATGTTTCGTGAACATGAGCGCGATATACCGAAACTAAATGTTTGTTGTGTTTTACAGCAAAGGAATCATTGAGCCAACTTTCCCAACATGATGACGGATCAACAACAAATTTCAATGGTGAAACTCATCATTAAATGTTCCAGATGCCTGCTATCACCCAATTTAGAAACCTTCGACCTGGATGAGATCATTTTTGAACAGGATGGGGCTCTGCGTTGTTAAACGTGCGTGCGATGACTCTTAAACACATCACTTCTATCCGATGTATTGGGAGGCGTGGTCACGTGACCTGACGTCTATATTTTTTTTTCTTTGGAGCTGTGTAAAGTGTATTCTATAAAGTCATGCTATTCAGCAGATTCGGAGGAACGCATCAGGACGGTAACGCAGGAAATTTCCACAGAGATATTGTCTCAAGTTGTGGATGAGGTTGTTCGGAGGTGCCTGCATACAAATTGTTTTAGCACATGCGGAAGTGTTGTCAAAGTCGTGGAGATAATTTTCTCACATTGAAACAAAACATCCCAAAGAGCTCTAATGGATGATGTAGCGCATTTGGTTTTCGTGAATCTCTTTCCTTCTTGGATAAGTTAATTTTTGAAACTAGGGAGAGACTATTGAATCACCCTGTACAGTATTAAAAATGGTGAAAATGAATTCTAAACGAATGGAATTAGGACTCACACTCCGAAGACACAAGTGCTAGAGATCATGTCGTCTCCAATGATGTGGTCGCAATCCCTGAAGTCCGCGCAATACGAATCCATCCAGTTGAAGGCCCCGCTTTCGTCATAGTTGGGCAGATCGTAGATGTAAGCAATCTGCTCGTTCTGAGCCAGGCTCAGACCCAGGCCGAAGAGGAGCGAGAGCGCAACGGATCGCTGCATCCTAAGGTGCCTTCCTACCTTCCTTTTCCCTCCGCTGATGTGGACTGTTGCTCCTAGTCTTCAATAGAATTGGCTTTCGTAGTTTTATCCGTGGAAATATTTGCAGGTGACGCGATGGGAATCTGAAATCCGTCTCCTGCTGTATCTTCGATAGCGATCTGGGATTTCCACTGCTACTCACGGAGGGAAGATATGGATAGACTTTTGGTTTCATGCTATGAGAAAATCATGCCCGCTACATGGCGATGGCGATACAGATTACGTTGGTTGACTAATGTTAAGGGAGGCCTTATTCCGCAAACTGCAAACATATTTCAACGTGGAAATTGAAACAGAAACCCTCCCATTAGGAACTGAATAATTTCATGCCTTGGCTGTTCATGTTGACCGTCGTACTGAAAGAGCCTGCAAAATCTCTTTCCTGTAAATGGGTGGATATCTGACTATTGATAGACCCTCGCATCCAAACAAAAATGTTCTGACGCTCGTGAGAAAGTTTCATTCCGGGTCCCTCTCCATCCTATGAGCCTTCTTTGGGGCAGTATTCATCTCTTAAAGGATATTCTTTTATGCATGTTATACTGAAAACTTGCTTTGACATCATCACAGACAGGTCAGAGAAGAGAGGTCATCCTGAATAAAGTCGTTCTTTCGTTGGAAAAATGAATTGGGAAATAATTTGTCCTTTACTGTCTGGTTTCTCATTGCCTCCCCTCCACTGTTTGGATAAGAATTCCTCTCGGGAGAATGCCCACCCTCACCTCATCACGTCCAAAAAGGAGGTTCTCCCTTCCCAGCAATCGGGTTCAGAATCAAGTTAGTTAATTCAAATTCAAATAATAAATCAGAGTCAAGTTAGTTAGTTGGTAAACTTGGAAACTCCATCCGTGAAGACGTAATGGGTAACGAGTGATGGGATGTATTGAATATTTATTCTATACCTGTCGCCTAAATGTAGAATTCTTGCCCTCCCCCATGACTTTAACTTGACCTAGAACTGACAATTCCCTCGTTCGCTTTCCCGTCCCCGGGCGAAACTGCTAGACCTCATGCATGAAATTGTGGAGGTATTGTGGAGGTGAAAATATCCTTCCGGGAGAGAAGATTATGGCTGGAGGCGACTGGCGTAAGGTTATGATGTCGACACGGGGTCGATCGATGCTGGCAGCTGATTTTTCAGCTCGTAAAATGGAACCCGTATTTATTTTCCTAATGCCGAGTTATCTTGATTAAATATGATTTAAGGAATTCATATCAGACCGATTTAATCTCATAGACAGTCTGCCATCTGCGCTCAACCATGTCTGAGCACGCCCAAGCGAAGTACTTGGAAAATACCCATCTTTTTTCATCCTGCACCTTTTACGGGTTATTGCGATTGAGGCATTGATTCAATTTGGCTAAGCTAAGGATTTTCTGCCTTTTTCAAGCATGCATTAGGAGTTACTTCAAAACCGAAAGAGTTTTGAAGATTTCCAATTGACTGGACGGAGATACGGCCACACGAGGATGCGCTCTGGCTTTGGCTTCAATATATGGCGTTGTTGCTCAACCAATATGAAAGAAAATCGATGTATGAAGTCAGAATTTTCGAATTTAATTTCGTATATAATACGCCTCGCAACGCACTTTGTCAGAATGGCTTCAAAATCATAATGAAAATTACATCAATTTGATGGTTTGTATTATATTTGACACAGTATGCGGAAAGGGACTAAAACCTGGAAAAAGTGCATATAAGCAGTCATGGGGAAATCCGAATTGCGCTTCGGACCAGTCGCATTACCCACCTCTGACGAAGTTCTTTGGCAAATAGCTTAAACACACTAGATGTCATGGCGATGCCCTGATTGAGCCCTTTACCTTGAAGAGAGTCATCCCTCAGGAGACCACATTTCCATCGGGTGGCCACTTTGCCTATTACATATTGAAGAGCGTTCTTCACAGTTTGCTTGTCACGTCGACCGACCCTTTCAGGTGTATTGATAAATGCCGTCAAGACCTTTTGCTGTCTTCTCATCTGGGGAGAAAGTTAGGGCTTTCCTGGCATAGAAAGATCCATTAAGCGCAAGGGCTATTGATACCATGCAAGAGACGTGAGCTGTTTTTATTAAATAAATTCACATGTAATGTTGGATTGTGATGATTTTACCCAAACAACACCGGAATGATTAATGGATGTTCAATGAACATTTCGTTTAACGTGCCAACATGCCATGAACGTCCTCGGGAACGTTCTATTCACTGTTGAAATGTCTACGAATTAGGAGCGATCGAAAACAAGTCAAATCGTGCGTTCCCTAAACGTTCATCAAGAACGTAACTTGAATGCTCCCAAGCAGAAGAAAAATGTTCCAAGAACTTCTTTCAGGTTTCCTCGAACAAGCAATTCGGAAACTATCTTTAACCTTAACTGAGCGTCTAAAAGCTGCTCACCCGTGAACATTGGTTTTAGGTTTATTTGACAATGAATTATGAAAGACCGTTGTGCCCGTCTTTTGTCCACCGTTACTTTTCTACGGCCACAGTGATAATGCCCCGTAGCTCTTCCTGGTCGGAACTCCCATCGCTACTAAAGGAATATTAACGTCGATTTTTTCGGATGACTTATTATATTTTCTGCTTCGGCTTCTAACCGCTTTCCTTTGTTCCATAATATCCTAAAATCCCAAAACTTCAGAAGTTTTTGGAACTAGTGAATAAGGCAATCGCTGCATGTATGTACGATGTTCGTGACACAAATTTCAATCGAACTGCACCAGGATCACCATGTAGCTCACGAGGGCGTGCAGAACCTGGAATAGTTGTAAAGATCAAGGTTGCATTTCCTGTAACCAACATACAAGAATAATTAACCCTCTATATACCAGAGTTGCAGGCATGCAACACTCAATGGGAAACTTTCTTCTTCCGTTTACCAAATGTTGCAGAGCTGAAACACGCCCCACGCTTCAGTTTTTGAGCAGTGCTGCTCTCTTCAGTTGAATACATGGAGCAGTATGCGAACTTAAAGAAAAAAACATCAAACAAATTCTGAAATTAGGTAAATAGAGGGTTAATTGTAAACAATTAAAGGTTCTACCGGTATGAGTATGGATCTGTCGAGGGTATAAAGCCCCGCCATGTTGAATTTCATGGGCCACTTCGCAAGGAAATCAGAGAATTTATGCATCTCTTGCGTTTCTCCAGGAGAATTTCGAGTCGCCTCCATCACTCTCTCAGCCTATCCAATGAAGAAATCATTGGGTACGCGTGATGCAATTTCAATTTAAAGCGGGAGGCTAAAATAGAGATGAAATGGGAAAGGCAAGACCTGATGGAGGACGGCGTGCGCAGACCCAGTCACGACGAGGATACGAGCGAGTTGGCAAAACACAGAAGAGCAATACCCCATAACGTGTACAGGTATTGCCGTATCCTTTAGAACGTGATGGTGCAATGACGAAACGAGGTTAAACAACTCGGTGAAGGAGATTATAAAAATAACGCTTGTAGGAGCGTCAATGTCACTGGCCACGAGAACCAATCTACAAGCTCTTTCAGTGCCGCCCGGATTCTCATCCACCTCTTCCTATTTGAATATAAGAAAAAACGTAATGGATTATTCCAGACATGTTCTGTGGAAGTTGAAGGACAACCATGTGTTTCACTACAACATTAATGCTGAGGATCGTGCCTCATGCGTATAGAAAACCTATTTAAGTAGAATGCAGTATACTATACGATCATTCGAGGAATATCACTATGGTGTTTACTTAAAATAATCAACACCTGAAAGAGGCAGACGGTGAAGAGTTTGCGATTATATCATCAGCCAGTGCAGCAAGACAGGATCTGATGGGTAGGCAGAGTATGAAGAAAAGGCATTCGATGAGGAACATGCCGGGGAATTCGAGTCCCACTCGAACCACAAGGATCAATGTGTTAGGTGCGTCGAGAAAAACACCAATCCATCCAACATGAAATGTAATGATGAGACAGGATAGAATTAAGATGGCAGCCTCGCCACGAATATCAGCAATCTTCTCGTTCAGAGCCATATTCTCCAAAATTCGAAGGACCTTGACCAAGCCTCGACCCCTGATTAACACGAAGAGTACGGGGATCGCCACGAACACCTTCAGCGTGAGAATTTGCATCCTCGAAATGACTTCTTGAAGGGCACTCGCATTGGAGTTCGGGTTATTGAAATAAGCGGGATGGACGATATCTTGGAGGGAAAGCCAGGATCTGCCGAAGAGCCAGACGAGAGCATAGAGAACGTGAATGCTGAAATACCGGAATTCCACCTGGATGGAATCCACGGAGAAGAGGCCGATGAGAGGTAGACATCCGCAGAGGAAGAGGAAGATGAAACAGGCTCGAATTCCTTTTGAGAACATTGCGCCTGTAACTACCTTGCACGACTACTGTACTATGATGACGGAAAATGGGGAGTATGTACATTGAATACGTCAGATTCAATCGGTCTGCCTTCATGTCAATATTTCCGGCTACATAGCCTCGCACTCTATTTGATTAAAAGTTCATTGATTTGAAAACAGTCTTGCCAAATGGAATGCTTCTGTTCGATTAGTTTATTAATACTGTTTTCGACAAGGAATGCGATCTTGGTTGGCTTGAGTTCATGACGCTGTTACTTGTTGGCGGTGGTGGAAGGTGAGGCACTTTTTACTGAAAATGAGCTGAACATCTTTTCATATGATGTCGATCTCGGTGCGCCTTACTGTTCTACATCATTGCAGATAGGCACATTGGACGATATCTTGGAAAGAAAGACAAGATCTGTCGAGATGGCAGACGAGATGATAATAAACTTGAGTGATAAAACATCTACGTCGTCCAATAGGGAACCACCGGAAAAGAGACCCCTGATGGGTAATGTCTGCTTCACATGCACATCAGCTTCGATCGATTCTGTCACATGTCACCTCATGTTCCAACGAACATGACAAACGACCTGATCTCTAACTGATTAATTGACCCTCGATTTAAAGGTGTTCTGTCGAATTAAATGTTTCTCATCAATTTCTTATTAATATATATATATAT